TACTGGTAAACCTCGGTGCCTGCAAAATTTGTGATAGTGAATCTGTTTGAAATAGTGGAAATATGAGGGATATAATGAGTAATGCATCAGACTTACATTTGTAAATTTTTTGGCCATGTGATTCTCTACGCCACCAAAGGCCATTCATATTCCCAGACAAACATCGGCTCCGGTGTTTCATTTCGGAGTTGCGCCAGTGTTTCCCTGGAACGCAAAAGGCCATTCTTATTCCCAGTAAAACACCGGCGCCGGTGTTTCGTCCAGGAGTTTCGCCGGTGTTTCCCTGGAACCCAAAGGCCATTCTTATTCCCAGACAAATCTACGGCGCCGGTGTTTCATTCCGCTGTTGCGCCGGTGTTTCCCTGAAACGCAAAAGGCCATTCTTATTCCAAGGAAAACACCGGCGCCGGTGTTTCGCCCTGGAGTAGCGCCGGTCTTTCCCTGGAACCCAAAGGCCATTCTTTTTCCCAGGAAAACACCGGCACCGGTGTTTCATCTGAGGGTCGTGCAGGTGTTTCCCTGGAACACAAAGGTCAAAATACATAAAATAACACCGGCGCCGATTTTACTCTTCTTAAGATGCGCCGGTGTTTCTCTGACATACAGATAATGAACTTTGGCTTTCGAGCATTGGCTTTTGACCGAATTTCTAATTTCGACCGCAATTGTCTAAACCAAACCTTCAATATACTCTTCGCTTCGCCGCTTCAGTCTTCCTCGCTTCAGCCCAATTCATTTGTTTTGATTGTCATTTCTCAGCTGCTACCGATCAATTCAGCTCAGCTGGGTATTGGTAATCCCTTTTTCCCTTTTTTTCCTTTCATCTTCGCTGCTTCACATTTGGTTGCTGGGTTTGTAGCCTTCGCCGGTTCATAGCCTTCTGTCCTCTCCGCCCTCTTCCGTCCTCTTCGCCGTCGCTTCATTTCTCGGCTACTACCCATCTCAGCTTATACCAGGTTTGTTTATCATTTTTCCCTTTTTTTTCCTTTCGTTTTGGAATACTGGGTTTTGGTTGCCCTTCCGTCCCCTCAGCCCTCTGTATAATGTTTATGTACTGCTGTAATTTTTGGGCATATGATCCTTATTAACTTGTCATTGCAGCAGCAGCTAAAAGATTATATTGTAGGATGATCTGCCTAAATCATTTTTTTTTTGGTTTGTCCTAAATTAGATAAGCTGATTAACCTAAATCAAATTAGATAAGCTGTCAGCCATCTTGCATCCCTGCAATTTTCATTTTTTTTGACTCGGTAGATAATTTGGTTGCCCTGTTGTTGAGTTGCGTCGTTGCTGAAACTGGAACTTAACAGGGAGGTAGACTCCCTGTTAATGTTTTTGGCTGACAATGAAAAATGTCAATTAATTGGTGGTCAGGTATTAGATGTTGGTACTAAACTGTTGAATTCCCAGTACTTCACTGCTAAATTCCACCAACGGCCTCAGTAAAAGTCTTTTTCTTTTCGTATTATCTGAAAACTGGATTAAAAAAAAAGGAAAAAAAAGTCCTCGGACTTTCAGTTGGACAGCCTATCATATGGTCCCTTGTGTCACTTAATTCAGTAATTGCTTTCCGTAGGCATTGTGGAGTTGTATTATAATTTGATATTGAAGCATGTAGAAAGTTTAACTCTGATTCAAGAACTTCCATTTGGCGAATTGGGATGAATTTTTGACACGTTTGATTACTTGGTGAAGTGAAGTGAGAATTTGACAGAAGCTTCCAAAACATGTTTTTCAGTTGTTGAACAAATCTTCTTGTTTGTCTTGTCAGGTTAATATAACAGGTTAACATAGATATAATAACCATGACTCTTTCAATAATAATCTCATACTACCATTTATCATAGTTGCCAGTCTTTCAATCTTTAGCTAATATAGGTAAACACTTAATCCTATAATTCGAAAACTGTAATAACCAAAGTGCAGTGACACAAAGATTCTATGATGAAACAGAATTTGATTTTCTGTACAGCGAGGTTCTTTTCTTTCTTTGGCCAAAGCTTTTTCTGCTTCTGTCTATAAGACAAAATGTTTATACATATCCGGTTTCTGTCCTTTTGGTTTATATTCTTCAAATCATCTTTTCTACAATCCAGCATTAGTGTATTTCACAGAAGCTCAAATGCTAGTCCACTTATTAAATAATATAAGTCCCTTGCTAGGCTCTTGCTACTAAATCGTTCCGTGACGTCCTGTTTCTGAAAGCCCTTTTACTTCCATTAGATCGAAAACCTTTTGTCCGTGGGTCACAATCGAAAACCTTTTGAGGAGATTAATTAGGTGTTGTTTGATTTAATCAGTTTTGGTCAACGAAGCAACGTAGCAAACTTGAGTCAGTTGACAATGCCACCTAGGAATACAAAAAGAGGCAAATGAAAGAGGAGTCGGGACCAAAACAGCGGTGCTAGCACCAGTGCAGGCCCAAACTTCGATGTTAGTAGGTTCAGTTCAGTTGAAAATCAAGATTGGTATGTCGTTCGTGCTAATAATACAGTTCTAGTTGAAGTGGACCTTGATCCTATCTTTGATGGGAAATTTCACTTTCGAGAACAGTTTGCAACAATGGGGTGGGACTGTATGTTAAATCTACCTCGACGGTATTACCTGAATTTGGTGCTGCAATTCTATGCTAACATCTCGAATAAAGGCAGTGTCAATTCTGTAGAACTACAGAGTTATGTGAAAGGGGTACATATAACTCTAACGAGACAGACTCTGTCTGAGATTTTAAGAGATGATGACGAGGGTCCCGTGTTTGAACATGGAAAGTACATAGTCCGAGGGGATCCAACATGGCAATTCGAGGTCACTCTCCCTAAGTATACCAGTAGCTTTAATTCTTTTAAAACCATAGCGGATCCTGTCACGGGGGACTTAAGAATGGAATTAGCACCTATTCCCACTAAGAGTCTTACGCTCCGGCACAATTTATTGGTATATTTGTTGAACCACAACATTCTGCAGGCTTCAAGCAGCAAGAATGAAGTCCGGGTAATGGATGTGTATTTCCTAGACAAATTAGAGGCTGGTTTAGGCAATGTATCAGGGATTCCGATATCCGCAATCATACTCGGTGCCATGTCAAGAACTGCAGTGTTTAAGGGGGCTAAGAAAGCACTACCCTATGCTAGGACACTAACGCGTATCTTTGAGCACTTCGGTGCAAATTTGATAGGTGAATCGTACAACACTGCATCAGCAATAGTGAACCAAGCCACAATCAACCGAATTGCCTATCGCAATGAAACGGAATTGGGTGAGAAAGAACAACAAGAAGAGGGCGAAAACAGGCAGGCCGCAACTGATGCAGGGTCTTCTCAGGCTACAAATGGGCGAACGATTCATGACATGATTGAAGCTGTGATCACTGAGATGCGTTCAATGCGTGAAGTGGTTGATCGGTTGGATGGAAGAGTAAATGCAGTCGAGGGGCGATTGTCTGCGATCGAAGACAGAGTGGAGGCATGGAGTGGCGGTCAAAACACAAGCCGAGTGGGGCGAAATGAACACGAAAATTAGTCACAGGCTATAATCTTTGTTTTTAGATTATTCTTTTGTAGCTAATGTGCTAGGCATATGTTACAAGTCTAACACAGTTGACATGTCAATATATTGATTTGCTATATGACATTAGGGACTAAAGGAATGTTGGTTATGAGCTGCTGCATATCCTTGCTTTCATTTGTAGCCTTATCCGTAGGTTGCAATTTTACTCCGTACTATGGCCAGGTGTAGAATGTCATGATGAAATGGCTGAACCTGAGGTATGAATAACAGACATTGTTATTTCAATGTAGGACTTATTTTTATATCTGCTGCATTTATCAATGGATTCCTGTCAATTTTTGTATGCCCCCGTTCATAATGGCCACTCATGCTAATTGACTGGGGCCTCTGTTTAGCTTTGCAACCAGCAATCTGCCACTTTTAAGCCAATCCTTTGTTGCACTTCGTAACATTGGGCCTGTTTAGCAACATTACCCAGGCAAAACTGCACCTTTTAGTTCCACGTCTATAGCAAACGCGAGGAATGTTCATAGGCAGTTTTGAAATGATCATTGCAATCTCAGGTCAGAAAACTACCCTATTCGCTTGGCGTGCCATTGTTTTATGTTCTGGTTTTCATAAAAGGCTCATGCAGGAGAATTTGGATGCTGATTTTAATTTAGTGCCCTCGTAGCCTTCACCTTTGCATATTATAGATCCAGATCATAGTCCCAATTCTCCTGACCGTTACAGCCTTTTATACTTATTTTAAATCGCTTGCTGAGACTATGTTTCAGATAAGGCAATTGATTGCCTAACCAACAATCAAAAGGTTGGCGCCATATTTTCCAGTGAAATTTCCAGCAATCCAAACAACATACTTGAACAAGTGCAATCCAAACAAGTTTCCATGTTTTCCGTCGGAAAACAATAGTGATTTTCCATCGGAAAATCGAAATCCAAACGCCACCTAAATTTGTGGCTACGATAAGGCGATTCTCAGTAGACATAGCAGCTTGTGGGACCTAGATAGAACTCTATCCAAGTGTATGAAGTCTAAAGTTGCTCTGGGCGGTGCCCTGAACGAGAGATAGGCCAAGCTCAATAGAAAAGTTGCAGGTGCTCCTAAGGCATCCTATCTTCTGCGGCCTGTTCTTGCTGCTAGTTTATGTTCAAGCATGTTCAAACCTTGTTATGGCTGGTTCCATAGTTAAGTTTCTTCCAGGATTTGAAGGACCCCTCCCCTTTGAACTCGAAACCGGGTGAGCCACTAAGCATAACATATATATAATAACAGTAGAAATTAACATTGATCAAAACTTAGAAGAAATAGTTGATCCATTTTCTGATATTATCAGGTATATTGGAGTTGGTGAATCAGAGGATGGGCAGCTCTTCTACGCTTTTATCAAGTCAGAGTCAAATCCTCAATCGGATCCTCTTATCCTTTGGTTAGATGGAGGCCCTGGCTGCAGTTCATTCAGTTCACTTTTCTTTGGGATAGGTGAATTCTAATGCCTTACACTTTGCATTAGGTGTCACCAAAAAAAAAAAGAACAATTGCGCCACTATTTTGATCTTGATTTTGTATAATCTTGAAACTCTGCAAATAGCTTTTCTGGTTGAAACTCTGCAAAAAAGACAAAAGACGTTGTCTGGTTGACGAAGCTTTATGTAAGGTTTTTTGTTTTGTTTTTTTTTTTTGGGTAAAAATATTAATTTTATTGAATAGCATCCATTTGTCGCCGGTAGCAACTGCTACAAACATCTGTACAATAACTAACTACACACTCACATCAAATTAAAAAGCCCAAAATATTAATCAAGCTCCAAAAACACGCACCTAAATATTTTTTCATATGCATTACTACAATAAAGCTTTTGAAAAACATTCCTAAAAACAGCTAATTCAAATGGAGCCATAATCTTTATTTGTCTTTAATGTTCAAGTGATGATGACTGATAAACTGGAGTGCCAGCATTTGATCAAGTCACTGGCCCGTGATTTTCTGTTGCAGGACCAGTAATTTTGGAGCCAGTGTCGTTCGATGGCACTCTGCCCAAGTTGGTATTAAATCCCTCTACTTGGACCAAGGTAAACTCAAGAATTGAGTTTCTCTTTTCTTTTATTTTATTTTCTTGCGAGAGAAAAAGAGATTTAAGTTGATGAGTATATCTTAAGACTCATAGAAGTGTTACATGAAAAGGTTATTGAGAAACATATATAAATAATATTCCAAATTTTTTCTTTTTTCCTTTTTTTTTTGAAATAATGTTCAAATAATCTTTATCCAAACAAACCTAATTTTGAAGATTAAGAATTCGAGTTGACTGCAAGGTTGAGAATCATTTCTTGTTACTTGTTAGGTTGTAAGCATCATCTTTCTGGATTCACCAGTAGGAACGGGTTTTTCTTATGCTAAGACTGCACAAGCTTCTCAATCTTCTGATTTACTAGCCTCTGATCAAGCTTATGAATTTATCAGGAAGGTACACGCCCATCACTCAGCTAATTAATGAATTGTAAGGCTTCATGGAATGTTGGACAATTACTAATCAGGAAAATGCCATATTTGTCTCTAGACCCTTTATTATGCAAAAAGACCAATGTACTATCATTTAATTATTTTCCTTCTGAATAGTGGAATCCTGCATGGTCTGCCCAAAATTGCCTCCATTGGATTCAAGTTCTCTATGAAAACGGTTTTGATTGTATGGAACAGTTGACAGTGGAAGATGAATAAAAGTGACATCAATAATAATTGGCTATGGTAGTTGATAGGGTGAAACATCTCAAGAGAGCCCATCAAAGAGTCCAATATGTAAATTAGGAATCCAACTCTAACCCAAAAGTTTAAGTCATTGGATCTTGGGCCCTTACTTATATATTAATCGCTCTTTCTCCATCTCACGGATCATTGTGGAACGTAATCTTTTACTCATGAACTTAACAGTAGTTTCCGCAGTTAGCGTCATGGGAGCTATAGTAGAGGAGGAGGTTAGGCATGTGGCTCTTGCATGGGGAAAGATCCCAAAGTCTCGTGAAAGGCGGCAATCTCTAGAATGGAATATCCCATTCACAGTGTTTAGTTAGTGAAATGTTCTGATACAGGCTCCTATGATAATTAGTTTAACATGTATAATGAAATATTCTATCTCTTGTACAAACTTGTCCCATATCGATAAACTTACAGTTTTACCTTAAAAAGATAGTGGAAGATGACTAATTTTGAATTTGATGCTTACAATTCAATTTTGGGTACAAATTTCAATAAGCGCGGCAATTTGTTGTCTTTTTGCATGTTGTTGTATCTTAATGTCTACAATTGGTTTGCTAGTGCCTATGGTACACAGTGCAATTACAATTGCCTTTTATAGAGGCTCGGGTGGGCGATATTTATTACGTTTTTACCAATTTGAACCTTGAGTTAAAAGCTTAATTTCCTTTGAAATGGGAAAGAAATTATAGTTAAAAAGATGTTTACCTTTTACAAGATTGCTTTTGATAGTTGATTATACTGCAGTGGCTACATGATCACCCAGAGTACAAGTCGAATCCATTCTATGTTAGTGGAATCTCGTATGGGGGCATTCCTGTTCCAATATTAACTCAACTTATATCAAATGGTAAGATTTTTTCAATGTGGCTCTTTACCCTGGGGAAGTTTTTTGGTTGTGTTACAATCTAATTATTGAAATTGTTATGCATCTACACAGGCATTGTAAGAGATCTGAATATACTATAAATGCTCTCTGTAAGCTTGTAGTATATGCGAAGTCTCTTTAGGTAGGAATATAGTTGCCACCTTAAGCTAAATGGGTTTTATTAATATAATGCAGAGCTTTAAGAGGGGGAAAAAAGGTTAAAAGTTCCCTCAAAAATTTGCAGGCTTTTTATTCTTTTCTGTCCAATGTTAAGTAATAAGATGCTCCAGAACAAAGCAAGAAAACATTTCTTTGACCAGTTCAGAGTTCTACACTATCTCCTGCCACAAGATGATCAGTTGAAGTTTGCTAAATACAGAGAGTATAGGATCAATGCTTTGTTGCTCTATGACTAGTAAGGCACTAAAACTTGCATGTATTTTGGTGTTATTCCAGGAAACGAGGACGGCATTGAACCATGTATTGATCTTAAGGTTTGTACCTTTGTTGATCTTCTCTTTTCTAGTCTACCTAATCTTGATTGATTACATACTATTTGGAGAAAAATTTATCATCCTGAGTTTAAAACTGAGACGTTTCCATTTATGGTTTCAGGGATACATACTTGGAAATCCAGTGACGAAAGCTTCAGGACTTCTGAACTATAGGGTTCCGTTTGCTTATGGGATGGGGCTGATATCTGAGGTAACTTATTTCTTTTGTTTGTTACCTACTGATATTTTAGAACACTATCATTTGTCACGTGCATTCTTACAACGTAAAATTACCCTGATTTTCTTATTGACCTGTATATTTACAATGCAGTCCTTGAAGGTTAGCTGTAAAGGGGAATATGAAATCATAGATCCTAGTAATCCAGTGTGTTCGAAAAATATGCAGGCATACAATGAGGCAAGCAATCATATCTATGCAATTTTTATGTGACTCTATTTTCAAAAATTAGGCAAGGCCTAATGGATTTACTTAAAGCGCCGCCTAAACTCAAGAAAGAGGGTCAGAGTTAAGGATTTTTAGTATAACCGTTTCTGAATAGTGTAATATCATTTGAAGAAGCAGTAATTCATTGTAACTTACTCGTACAATTTCGTAATAGAGTTTCAGTTAATGTTAGGGGCTTACACGAGCACTGATCGAACATCATATTTCTGTTGCGAAATTGTAAAAGTTAACAATGAATTACTCTAATTTATTCAAACAATAACACACTTTCCAGAAACGGTTGTACTGACAATTGGTTCCTACCCCTTCCCTTTAATTTGTGGGCTACAAAAGGTGGGAAGAATCAGAAAAAAGGAACAGGCAACCAGAATGATGGTGTTAATAATTTTCTTTTGCAGTTGGTTCGTAATATTGACGATGAACAGATCTTGATTCCCGTATGTCATCCCCTTTCACGAGAGCCAAATAAATTATTTACTGGTGGGAGATCCATTATGCAAATGTTGTATGAGAAGTTTGAAGAGCTAGACGTTCGGGAATCTACTCCAGTCAAATGTCGAGTAAGATACTACTAGTATCGTTCTATGTAAACTCGCGGATAAGAGCATCAGTTCTTGGTAGCACAACTGATCGCCGTTTCTTTTGTTCACTGGCAATCGTAGATGGAATGGGTTAAGCTCGTTGAGCACTGGGCTAACAACAAAAGTGTCCAAGAGGCCCTCCATGTGCGAAGGGTATGTCTAAATCGAGCACTATGGTATGTAGCATTTGAATGCCGAAGCAAGCCTGAACTGATTTCTGTAATCACATTGCAGGAAACTATCGGACAGTGGTTAAGATGCAACGATACCTTGCCATACATAGAAAATGCAGGGAGTGTTGTATCATATCATGCAAACCTTAGCACTAAAGGTTATAGATCCCTTATATACAGGTTTGGTACCTAACTCTAAATCTTGATGCATGTAGATTAACAGCAGTGATTTTAAGTACCGAAAGTGGAGTACTTTGTGATGCAGTGGTGACCATGATCTGATGGTACCGCACATTGAAACTCAAGCATGGATAAGATCTCTACATTACCCAATTATTGACGATTGGAGGGAGTGGATTCATCAAGGCCAAGTTACCGGGTTGGTTCAAGATTGAAAATGTTCCTTTCTTGATTACCATTAACACGAGATAAAAGATAACTTTACCCAACTCATCTAAATTTGTTCTGTTTTCCTGCTCCCAGCTATACAAGGACCTATGCAAATAGGATGACATTTGCAACAGTGAAGGCAAGAAATTCCTGTTTCTATTGCTTCAATGCAAGATTTGTTCACATGGCAACAACTAACAACATGGTTAGAACATTCTTGGGACTAACTAGCACCCCTTTTTCTTTTTCTTTTTTTGGGTGAAGGGAGGAGGCCATGTTGCTTATGAGTTCAAGCCTGCCGAATGCAGAACTATGCTTGAGAGAAGGATATCGTATCAGCCTCTCTAATCAGTTGGCATATGGATATGAACATCTTTGATCACTTCCGAGCATCAAATGTTCCACTCTTAAATATAAATTGTTGTGACTTTGGGTCATGAGACGCTTCTACTCCAAGTCTCCAATGGATTGCCTTCTTATCGAGATATGATTAGCAGAAAAGTGAATAAAATGTAGTAGTTAAAATGGGAATCACGTTAGCCTCCAAACCTTTCTATATGACTGTTGAAGCTTTTACTTTGAAAATGTGTCATTGAATTAAATTTCCTCAATTTTGCAATAAATAAAATTTTGAATTCACAGGAAAGTACAGGTTTGGCAAAGAATTCAAATATTTTTTTTAAAAAAATTGTTACTCCATTAAACATGAATGGAGGGAATCTACCAAAGCATTTAAAAGGTGCAGAGGAGTAGGAAAAGGAATTTCTTATTCATAATTGAAAAGCAATTTTCTTGAGAACACTTTTAAAAACTAAAGAATATCAAAAGAATAAATCCCTCATGTCTAGGATTGTTCTAATTACTTTTTCAGCAAAACTATAACTCAAAAGTACCTTAAAAGCTTCTTTTTTTTTTTTTTAAGATAGCTCCAAATTACCTGTTTGTGGTCACGGATAATCTGGTCATCAAAGGATTACACTTGACTTACACTTGAGTAGATTCAATCTTTAGAAATTCAATAGGTCAAATTGTGCTACCCATCTCAAAAAGTGGTGCGACTTAATCTAGACTATTGAATTTTTAAAAATCGGATCTTCCAAGTTTTGGCTGAACGTGTTAAGGGTATCAGGATCTCTCTATTTATGATGAGCCTGGCAACATCGTTCAAATCCTGCTAGTGCTAAGGGGAATGGGGCACATATGGGTGCACGGGCTCAAGTTTTTGCCTACTCATATGGGAAGGAGGAATGCCAGGCTCAATCAATATGGGAAGATGAGACGTGCCCAATCAACAAAAACCTCGAGGAGAGATAGAAGGTGAAGCGTGACGGAGAAAACAGAGAATAGAGTTTGAACATGTATTGGGTGGACTCTTTCTGTGTATGAAAGAAAGAAGGCAAGGTATGATGCAGAAAAGCACAGAACGGATGGCGACTGAAACATGGTTAGACCTCAAGGTCCTCAACTCTTGATCTGTACTTTGATCAAACTTCAAAGGAGGTAGTGCAAATAACCCTTTAATGTTTTAAACAAGTCATTTTCTTTTCTTTTCTTTTTTTTGTTATTTGAAGGAAAACATTTACAACAAAAAAGAAAAAAATAGTTATGTAAGTGAACTTTACATGCGTTACAGTTTGTGAAATTCGTCAATTCTCTCTAGAATTCTGTTCGGTGGATTGAACATAAGCGCAACATTCCACAACATCATCTTAGTAACACCTAATCAAATAAACTTCTACTTCTCGTGAAAATCAATGTTCAAAAGCACATCGGGTTATCAGATGAACTTCCACACAAGGGTAAAATATATCTTGACAGATAAAAGGTATTCTAACAGTTCAAAGAAATCTCAAGTCTCCAATCTGCATAATCCAATTAAGGAACTAATTATTAATGGATCATTGCAAGAAGTCTGATTTTGACCTGAAATGATGATGGACGACCAAAACTATCAAGTACAAAGGCTGATTCATTCACTCTGCCTCTGACCCAAAACTGGAATATCTTCGTAACGCTTCTGTAGTGCAATATTTATGAATTTCAGTTAAACATCCATGAAGACCACGACGAAGGTAAAGCAGACATATCTATCATTACATAAAGCAGGAAAGTAAAAGACTAGAAGCATCCATTTCTAGAAGCAGAGAAGAATATTGACTATAAAAGACACAATTTACAGAACACGAGCCAAATAACATGCAGGTTTAATTTCAAATGCTCACTCAATTATGATACTTACCAACCCAACTCGAATAGGGACCAAATACAGTTCTAGACACAATTTTCAAAGCTTACTTTAATCCGGCAAGTACCTATGATCACTCAATAGAAACTTTGATGGCAGATTTTGAAAATAATAATTAGCATGATATCATAAGCATTTCAGCTATAGCATCACACATAAAAATCTTAATCCTGTTTTGCATGATCTAATAAAAAACTTATCTGAACAATTCTTACTAAGAAGCAACCATATAAAATTAGAGTTCAATCTAATTCAGTTGATTCACTGCATGTTCTTTAGTAATCAACAGTTTGACTTGGTCTTTAAGTGTTCATGAATGTTCAATTAGTCAAATAGCTAACTAAAATCAGAAAATAAATCTTTGAAAAGATGGATCTAAATTCAAAGGTTCCTATACATCAATCAAGCATGGTACAAGTCTAAGGACAAGGAACACATGGTAAATCATCATTTGGTGCCACACTGGATAACATCGTTGTCACGCCCCGAGCCCGCACGTGCCCGTCACATGACACCCGCCGTACTCCCAAGTCCCACTCAGGAATACAAGGCTACATTAACTAATTTAACTTTGACAGTACTAAACAATTTAACTAAATAAAGTGCGGTACGAATTACATATAAAAGGACGTCTACGAATAATCAAGACGTTGTACATTTATTCTCCAATTGAAACAGCGGAAACAAAGGTAAATAAAACCAACAACTGGATGTAGCCAGCCTGCCAACTTCTATTCATCTAAAACTAATAAAAGTCATCTTTAGGGTCTTCTACGTAAACCAATTCATACTCTTCAGAATCTGCAAAAATGATAAGAAGTGGGTTGAGCGACACATCGCTCAATAGGTAATATTTACCCCTCTGTTGGACCATGCACTCTTCGTTTTATAGATACATATACTGTTAAGAGAATATAAGTATTGTTGTAAATAATAAATTAGTAAGGGTATTCTTGTAAATAGTTTGTTAGGTTTGTACTCCTATAAATACTAGTTGATCACTCATAATACGGTGACTAGATGTTTTCCTCCCAAAATACCGGTTAATATGGTATCAGAGCAAAATTCCTAGGGTTAGGGTTAAACATCTAGTCAAAAGTACTGTTCAGCTGCACTGTTCACGCCGTTACTGTTCACGGCGCAGTACTGTTCACGCCGTTACTGTTCACACATCACTGTCATCTCGAGTTTTGACCCTTTCTTTGGTTTGACGTGCTATTCGCTATGGTTGAAAGGTTTGTTAATGCGGTTAACAATGACCAAATTGAATCGAATTTTTCAGCACATGGGTCCCAGAAGACTGTTACTATATCTGAGAAAGATTATGTTAAATTCCTACAATACCAATCTACAAATCACGCATCTCTTCCCTCTACTTCTTTAGCACAAAAAGGTAATGACTCATGGATTATTGACTCCGGGACTACTGATCATATGTCAGGTACCTCTAAATTTTTTTCTAATTTTCAAGAGTCTACTCCCTTTCCTCATGTTACTTTAGCTGATGGATCTAACACTAAAGTTAAAGGACTAGGCACTGTAGAAATTAATCCATCACTTCCGCTGTCTTCTGTTCTTTACGTACCCAATTTGCCCTTTAATCTAATGTCTGTTAGTAAGCTCACTAAATTTCTACAGTGTACAGTTACTTTTTCTCCTGATTTTGTTGTCATTTAGGATTTGAAGACAAAGAGGACGATTGGTGGAGGGCATGAGCATAATGGTCTTTACTTTCTCAACTTCAATGGTCCAATAGCATGTCCAACTACTGTTTCTCCTCTTGAAATTCACTGTCGTTTAAGTCATCCGTCTTTACAAAATTTGAAAAAGTTGGTTTCTACTTTGAGTCAATTATCTTCGTTAGAATGTGAGTCTTGTCAGTTAGGAAAGCATCATCGTGTTTCTTTTGCTCCTAGAGTCAATAAACGGGTTTCTGAACCTTTTTTGTTAGTTCATTCTGATGTTTGGGGTCCTAGTCGAGTCACTTCAAAATTAGATTTTAAATATTTTGTAATCTTTATTAATGATTTTTCAAGAGTTACATGGTTTTATTTAATGAAAGATCGTTCAGAACTATATTTCATTTTTTGTGCATTTGTTGCAGAAATAAAGAATCAATTTGGTTTGTCGGTACGTATATTTTGCAGTGATAATGCGAAAGAATATTTTTCCACTCCTTTTAATACCTTTATGAGTAAGTCTGGTATTATTCATCAGTTCTCTTGTCCTCACACTCCACAACAGAATGGAGTTGCTGAAAGAAAAATTGGACATTTAATCGAAATTGCTCGAACACTGTTGTTGCACATGAATGTGCTCAAACAATTTTGGAGTGATGCAGTTCTAACTGCATGTTATTTAATTAATCGCATGCCATCTAATATTCTTGGAGGTCAATTACCTCATTCCATTCTTTTTCCTCATGTACCTGTGTTTAAATTACCTCCTCGTATTTTTGGATGTGTGTGCTTTGTTCATCAGCTTACTCCCGGAGTGGATAAATTAGATTCTCGTGCTATTAAGTGTATTTTCTTAGGATACGCACGAGCGCAAAAAGGGTATAGATGTTACAGTCCAGTTTTAAATCGATTTTTTACTTGTGCTGATGTTACTTTCTTTGAATCCACTCCATATTTTATCAAACACAGTATGCCTTGTGAGTTAGACCAGTGTCCCTTATTACCTGAGTTATCTAGTCCACTAGATTCCATAGCTCGATTATCTCGTCCTCATCTTCAAGTTTACTCTCGTCGTTCCATGGTTGAGAAAGTTCCTGATATGCCACGCACTTCACCAATTAACTCTCAATCTTCAAATCCAGGTATGACGCCCTCATCTGAGTTAGATCTTCCTATTGCTTTACGCAAAGGTAAGAGACATTGTACTTCCCATCCTATTTCTAATTTTGTTTCTTATTCTCGTCTCTCTATGTCATATTCTTCTTTTGTTGCTTCCCTTGATTCTATCTTCATTCCTAAGTCTATTACCTATGCTTTTAATCATCCTGGTTGGAGATTAGCTATGTAAGAAGAGATGTCTGCTTTGGAACAAAATGGTACTTGGGATCTTGTCCCTCGTCCTTCAGGTAAGCCTGTCGTTGGTTGTAAATGGGTGTACACTATAAAAGTACAGCCTAATGGTTCTATTGATAGATTGAAAACTCGTCTGGTAGCTAGAGGATTTACTCAAGTGTATGGAGTAGACTACTTAGAAATATTTTCTCCTGTTGCAAAGACTACCGCGGTTCGTCTTCTTATCTCTTTGGCAGCAACTTACAATTGGCCATTGCATCAGTTGGATGGGAAAATTGCATTTCTGCATGGAGATTTGGAAGAAGAGGTATATATGGAACAACCTCCTGGATTTGTTGTTCAGGGGGAGAATTCGCGGTTGGTTTGTCGTTTGAAAAAATTCTTATATGGATTGAAACAGTCTACGATGGCCTGGTTTGGCCGGTTTAGTAGTGTTTAGTGTTGTCATGGAATTCGATTTGACAAGATGTGGAGTAGATCATTCTGTATTTTATCGGCATTCTAATGTTGGTAAAATTTTATTAGTTGTTTATGTGGATGATATTGTGATTGCAGGTGATGATGTTGTGGGGATCCAGAAACTTAAATCCAATTTGCAGGCGAACTTTCAGACAAAGGATTTAGGTCATCTACAGTATTTTCTGGGTATTGAGATAGTTCGGTCTAAATATGGAATTTATTTATGTCAAAGAAAATATGTACTCGATATGCTGAGTGAAACTGGGATGTTAGGTTGCCGACCTGTGGATACTCCTATGGATCCTAATGTGAAATTAGTAGGAGATCAAGGTACATTACTAGATGATCCTAGGTAATATCGAAAACTTGTGGGTAAATTAAATTATCTCACTGTAACGAGACTTGACATTTCGTTTGCAGTGAGTGTTGTGAGTCAATTTCTTGATACCCCTCGTACTAGTCATTGGGATGCTGTTATACGGATTCTCAGGTATCTTAAGAGTGCTCCTGGAAGAGGGTTGCTGTATCAAAATCATGGACACACTGATATTGAAGGATATAGTAATGCAGATTGGGCTGGTTCTG